CATATGCCAATATGAAGGATGGACCCTAGTTGTCAATGATGGACAACAAAGATCTGAAGTCCTCAGAGATTTTATCAACAAATTTGACACCCATCAAATATCAGGATGTACCTCAACCTTACAATGAGCATGTGAAGCAAGAGAGTGCCCAATTTGCCAACAAAATAAAAAAGGAGATTTCAAAGAGATAAGGAAGATGTGACCAAAGGAAGACAGCTACATATAAAAACAAACTCTTAAAGAAGATGTGACTATAATGGAGGGGCCGGTAGGCTCTAAATGTCAAAAGCACAAATTGTTTAGTGCTATATGATGTAAGCAATGATGTAAGAGGTCAATAATTTTGCTTCAATTGGATATATAAATAGAGGCCTTCGGGTTAAGAGAAAGACATAACGAATTGGAGAGAAAAATTTGATGAACGAATTGGAGAGAAAAATTTGATCACTCAACTTGTGAGAAAATCAAATCTTCTGTTTGAATCTTATACCAGATTTCAAGGATATCAATACTATCGACTTTGATAATATCATTCAATCATCTTGAATAGATATGAGTTTCTAGACCACTTTCCCAATAGATTCTTGAAAGATTAAGGAAGAAATTTATTTCTTACTTTAACAAAAAGAGAGTTTTCTTTATTTAGGATTTGTAGTTTAAATCTTAGGAAACGATACAGTGAGGACAAGAAGCCGAAATAGCAAAGATCCCTTGGAGGCAAGAGGCCATTGTGGGGAATAGATTGCATATTCAGAGTTTGAAGGTCACTCGATTCTCAGGATAAAACTTAAGATCAGAATCAAAGTAAAACTATTGTTTTTGTTAAAATTGGAAAGAATTCTCTAAGATCTTAAAGAATCGTAGGAATTATTTATTTCAATGTTTATACTTAAATGTTTGTGTTTAAGATTATGAATCACTATTATTTCACTATGTTCATAACATGTCAGAATATACAGTAAAATGATTAAACAATCTATTAGATAAAATATTAGATGAAATAAAATTTACTTCTCAATTGGGTTCTCAATTAAAAGATATAAGCACATCGACAGAAGAACATTATAGTAGAGATGTCAATGGGCCGGGCCGAGCCGACTCGGCCCACGAGCTCACGAGTCGAGCCGGCTCGGCTCGTGGCACGTTAATTTTTTATTTTTAGCTTTTCTTAGTTTTTTTTTATTTTTTTAATGTTTTTTTCCACGAGCGCTCGCCTCACTAGCGAGCCGCCCGCTAGGCTCGTGCTCGGGCTCGACTTTTGACGAGCCCAAACGGCTCATGGGTCGCTGCAGTACAAGTCGAGCGGCCGAACCGACGAGCCACTCGACTTAATTGCCACCACTACATTATAGGATTGAAGAAAAATTAAAAAGATATGTTAAAAATTATTCTAATGTATTACAACTTAAGATGAAATTACAAAATAAAACTCAAGAAATGAGAGATATAGGATAAAAATGTTAAAATGATTAAACAATTTGTTAGAAAGATTGTTAGAAAAAATAGAGAATATTAAAATTCAACTAAAAAATAAAGATAGAACATCTGAAGAATATAAAAAACTTATGACAGAATATAAACAAAAGATTATAAATTATGATAATTTATTAAATCAAAGGATGAATTTATTTGTTAAAATTAACAGAGAATGAGTTTGTTTGTTAGAACTAAGAATATAAGAAATATAAGATACAAACTATTCATAAAAGAAAAATATGCCTTGCAATAAATAAATATATCTCATTAAGGGTAAAATAGACTTTTCTACATAAACTACAAAAAGCTTAATTGACCCGGCTAATTTGAAAAATCTCCCTTTTTTATAAGATTGGTAAATTTGATTTTTGATTTTAAAGTTATTACTCAAATCTATTAATTTTCAACAGATTTCAATTCTCTTTCATTATTAGAAACGGGTCCAAAAAAAAAAAATCCTCTATTTGGTGAAGTTCATATCATTATAAAATATAAATAACCAAATAAATCACTTCTAATGAAATCATTAGCTGATAAGTTAAATACTATTCATTTAATCGAAAACGACATAGTTTGACTCTATTACATATTCATTTAATAAATTAAGAAAAAAAAATGGGTTTTGTCTTCGAATATTCAAAGTAAATATTATTCAAAATATCTTTGTTACCAAATCCCAGCAAACTTTGGTCTGCTTTGGTATGACCAAGTCTAGATGCATGCTCCTTTGTTCCATGCTTGCAAGCAAAACTCGTCAAACAAGAAAACTGAATCGAAATTGCCTTTTTTGAAATTATCTGTTTGATGTCATGTAGATTCGTCAATGAAAAATTTTAATGACGAATTAAAATCAAATCGGACCATTTCAAAAAAAAAAACATGACTAAAATATGACTATTAAATATTTTATTACAACAATGGATACTTCAGTTTACTGTCAATTGTCCATTACCAAATACCATTAATTAATTGATTATCCTAATTCTATAATCCTATTACCAATCACGCCATCAAAGTCAAAACTCACTTCGTCTTCAATCCTCAGGCTGCAAACATTGAGAACCAAAAGCTCCACATTGCAGATGATTTAAATTTATAGTTTGTCGTATATAGCTTCTTTCTTTCTTTCTTTTTTTATCGCCAATAAAGTATGAAAACAGTATAATTAGCGAACTAGTGATGATAAAATGATCATATGAAGAAATAACCGAGATTTAAAATCGGATCTAAACATTCGGTTTAAGTTCGAAAATTTTTCAAAACATTTTAAATTGTTTAGTTTGGGATTTGATTTTTCTCAAACCCTTTTAAACAGTTTAAATGGAAAATCTGTCAAATTGGTCCAATGGAACCCCTTATATCCCTATTTTTTATATGCCTTTGCTTCTCTTTATCGAGACTTGTTACAATTAGTTGAAGTAAACTTTAGCACACGACTCTAGGCTACTTATTACAAATAATAAATGCTTGTTACTCTTTATACTATTTTCCCTATGAACGTAGGGTAAGACTTTGACAAATGAATGTTCGAAAAATTTATAATCTCGCTTAAATAATAAAATTATTCGATCCCAACTTGCACTAAATTAATAACCCTACTAAATGCATAAGATAATAATCTTTTTTTAGATCAATTTAAAACCCAACGAACATGTAAAATAATAATTGCTTGAATTTATAAAAGTCCATACTAGTAACTGTAGAAATTATGTTTCATGTGTACATAAAATAATTTGAACAATTAATCTTCCAATATATTAAAATTTGAAGTCAATGCGTGTACATTACCGTTTCCTCTTTAATAGATGTATACATTTTTTGTGTGCTTACTGATTAAATTTTGAATTTCGCCACATTCAATTTTTTTTTTCAATTGCCTATATGTATTGTGGTAAAATATAATACAAATTATAAAAATATTACATACTCTATAAATTAATAAATATTCATTTATCGATAACTTAATAAATTATTCATTTATCGATAAATTAATAATCCCTTCAAAATAATATTTTTTTCTCAATCTCAACATTATTATTTTATTTAGGTTTTATTGTAGGTTGAGGCTTTCTTGATTTTAGAAGTCTTCGACGAGAGTATAGCAGCTTGAATAAATAAGTAACTTTTAAAGTTTTACATTTCAAAATTATCTATTCAGATTAACAATAAAATTACTTTTAAACTATATTTGGTGTGGCATGAAGTATCTCTTATGGCATGAGTTTTTTGATTTTTTTTTTAAAATTTCAGCCCCCATCAACCTCTTTTCTTGGCTCCGCCCCTGCTCGCCACCTTATGAATCCATATATCCAGTTCCATTTTCAGAAAGACAATACAATTATTATTTTGTGAAAAATACATATTGTTCATCGTTTATAGGTTGGTTCCATGATGCCCTCGAATCTAGAAAAATGATCGGTTTTGAACTTTACTTGTGAAGAGGGGAGAATTGTATTGACTGAATCCAATATCACACCAGTATAACATATCAACTTGTCTCTAGCTTACAAAGAATAATATTTCTCACATTTTATAGCATATACCGAAATGTTATTATAAATGTTGTTATTAAAAGTCGTATCTCTATTATAACGTTTTGAATGTTATTATAAAGTGCATATATGATCAAGTTGAGGAAGGGATTTTCGGGATTTATGATCAAGGCATTGAGAATCGCATCTCAAATTTCGCTTCTCCTTTTGTTCTTGTTATTTCAATTAGTACATAATCAGGATGCAGCAGAACTCTTGAAAAGTGATCTGGACAATCTAAGAAGCCTGTCCTAGCATATCCCTTTGTGGTTAGCCAGTGAATTGCGGTCTCCATTCTGCAAATGGTAACATTTATTTCTTACGAAATTGTGATGGAACTGAACACTGGATAAGCATTTGGCTTCTGAGAATGTAATGGATTTCTATGGACAGAAGATCGTGAAAGAATTAGTACTGCAATCTGCAACATTTACCGAGCAGATCTATGATGATCAAGCAAGCTATAAATTCCTTTAGTTGTAATTCTTGATTCTCCTATATGCTATGCATTTAGTCTTATGAGATGTATAGTAATCCGAAAACAAATCTCATGATTAGTTGATTTGGTCCTCGAAACTAGAAGTTTCTGGTTCATAGGACTATAATGTAGTTCATGGCAGACTTAAATGTTTTCTAACGCCAGTATTTACTGAAAAACTAACTGCTCTCTTTTTCCTCTTTCGGCTGAAATGTTTTGATATAATTCTTGACAGTCTTTGATCTTTGGTTTGTGCATTCGAGTGCTATTCATTAGTATTTACCAGTATTCCTGATGTTGTTCGAGGAAATAAAGCAAAGCAATGACGATATTTATACACACAAAACAAACATTTATTGTCAATCATGTTAGGAACAGAAATTACAAATGGAAAAGCTAATATTATCCATCCAGACAATTACTTCCCTCCGGCAAACCTACATATGCATATATCCACTTATTTGGTACATTAATAGTGTCTAAAAATGCAGTAAAAGATTATTTCATTTCCAAGCTTAATTCGTCTTCCTGCAGTTGGTTCTGATCTGACCGTCGTTCCCTGTAAGTGGGCTAAGGCTCCCCATTTTGATCATTGCACTAACAAAATCAGCACGGAATGATGCAGGATTGGTGCTATAAGTGGTGACTTGAGAATCTGTTGAAGCACCACTGAAGAGTTGCTGGTCAGAATGCAAGAGACCTTTGTTATTGACTAGATTCCTGAAATAAGCATTGTCGAAAGAGAAAGGGCTTGCTGCATCCAGCGGTGAAAGATTGTCGTCTCCGCCTGTGTTTGGACAGTTAGTTTTCAGGGATGTTGCAAAAGATGAAAGAATGGTGCTTTCGTTGTAGACTCGGTCACGAAATGCCATGCATCTCGCTTGGCCTATCGTGTGAGCTCCTGTTTACAAATAGTAACGATCAGCAATGAATGGAATGGAGTTGTGAAAAAGGATTCACATAGCTGACCTTAAATTTATCGGGACGAGTTGAAGGGAAATAACAGAATGTCCTAGTACCTGAAAGGGTAACCATTTCTTTTGAAGTGAAGCCTTTGTTTGAGAAGGCTGAGATGAGATCGCTGAGATCCATTAGAGGGGATGGAATCTCGCTGTTTGCAGCACTTAAACTTGCAGTGGTTGAGTCTCTTCTGCCTAATTGAACCACCCATGATGGTCCACCCAGCTTCTCGAAATAAACAGCAAATCAAAACATTGTTAGTGGTTTTTTTGTGTGTTGTTCGTAGTTAATTTCAATTGTATATAAGTAAATCGAGTGTTTGACACATTATTTAGTATAGATTAACATTAAGTGCGTAAAACAGTTCAACCGTGCTGCCTATGGAGAGGCCAAGCATGGCTTGTCTCTGTAGACAAGCTGGCTTATGGCACAGTATGTTGTACTGGTCGACCTAGTCCAGTTTTACACTCCTATAATCGATTAGGCATTAAAACGCGAAAGAAATTAGGATGGATGAGGAGATTACCGAAACAATAGAATCCCGAGCTGCAACAGCTAGAATATCAGCACAGGAGACAACTTGGGGACACAAGGACTCTAGTTGAGATTTGATAGTATCGATAACGTCAAACCCTCTTAATGAGTTATTATTCGGTCCAGCAGTTTTCTCCCCCGTGAAACTTGCTGTATCATCTAGTAGAACAGATGCATCACATCCCTGTTGACACAAATCATACACAAAAACCATGTTAAATTCACAAATGAAAACCACTTTAACAGCTAAAGTATACATGCAGATTATTGGATGAATAGCAAATCGTTCAATTTCCTCTAAATCGTCATGTGTTCATACGAAAATATGCCTCACTTTTTTTGGCACTAGGTCAGGTTGGAAAGCGAAAGCTAGTTTTATAAAATGGGAAATGCTCCCATAATGGTGTCCATAATGGACTTCCGTTATGGACACCTTTATGTTAAGAATTATGTACCCTTAGCATTTCTCTTATAAAATTGGACATGTGAGGGCTCCGCATGACAATCAAAGGAGATTTGAACTATTTATATCTATTGTAACCAATTGTGTAACTTAATGGAAGGTCGATGAGTGAGAGAGAGAGCTTGCATTAACGAAGCAGTCATGGAAATGAAGGCGAAGCAATGAGGCTCCCATTCGACGTTCCTTAAACATTGCTTTAGTGATGGCTGCATTGATGGTGAGAAGAGCTTTTGGACAGGAAGTGGAGTAGTAATTAGATGACAATTGCGAGCAACTTATTCTAAGCTGAACGCACAAAATTATGAAGAAGAAAAAGCAGGAGGATAAGTTTCTACTTGCCATGAACTCAAGCAGATTATGTTAAAAAGAACTAATTTATGTGTTGTGCCTGGTGAAGATGGAGTTCAACTAGCTGCTGGCATGCAAATATATAGTACAAGCACTTTGCTCCCACCATTGACATTTTGCTCATTGCCTTATTCTAGTAAGTCAACTTATTCTTTTTTTTTGTTTTGTTCAATGCAAATGAACCAATTAAGGAATAAAAAAAGGGGAAGAGAAACAAAAATGGAAAACATTCTCACAAAAACCATTGGGCTGCAGGGATTGTATCATAAGGTTCAATGAATAAGAATTTTCCTTTTTGTTTGAGTTTTTCTGGGACAAGCAACTCATTTATGACCAAGAAATGAGAATCAAGAGAATCCTTCGAAGTTCTTGCAAAGTATAAATTGGTTGTTGGAACTTTATTAAAACTTAAACTTTATGATTTTGTCAAGATTTTCATGTCAAATCATCAAGAAACTGAATTAACGCGGAACATACCTTAATCAATTGATTTCTGACTTGAATAATGAATCTTGATTTGTAAATCTTCAATTTGGTTGCTTCAAATCTCCATCTTAATTCCTGATCGTGGGTTTTATGAATCTTCTTCTTCATATGTTTTCTCTTATATTCTTGTGTTGATAGGATGCCATAAAGAATGAGAAAATCACATGAATTGTGGACCATAACCCTTTATATATTTCTATATGTATTCGGCTCATCGCCAAATACAAACCCTAATGGATCCGATCTCTACACATATAGTCCGGCCCATACTTTATTTAGATGCTTAAAGCTCAATTACTTAATTCCTTATTAGATCACTTTAATTTTTGGGCTTAACTTTAAAATAGTATTTATACACAGTTAATTACACATGTCGACACATCATGACAAATTAAATAATTTCCCAACATTGGTATGTACAATCTTAAAAGAAATTCAGTTTATGTAGAAATATATGCTAAATGATAAGCGATTAATCATAAAAATCACGACTATCTTAATAATATCATTCTCAAAAAGGCTTAAATACGAAAAAAATGAGTTTTTGTTATAAATAATGATTATGATCAATAGAATGAAAGAAATTATAGTCATTTTTTTTTTCCATTGTGTCGGGTTTAAAAATATTATTAACTAAAAACTTTTTACTTTTAGATTTTATTTTTATTTTAAATTAATTAAAGCTTTTTAATTTTAAGTTGTGGTCAAAGCACCAACACTTGGAGGTGAACGACGTAGAATCAAACTTCAAAGTTTAATCCCTTAAATAAGAGAAATTTGCAGCATTGGTCCCAACCTATTGCTCTAGTAGCATATAGGTCTCCAATCTTTAAAAGAAGCTAGTTGAACTCGAGTCATTCCTTATAATTGCACTATCAACCTTAATAATTAAAACGTATAAATGTTGTTAAAATCATCACATAGTCGCTAAGTTCTATAAATCAAATCTTGTGAAATGAGGATATTCTATGAAAGACGAGACAATTTAACATATAAGTATGTTTGAAAAGTGTTTATAAACGGTTTGAATTATAAATAAATAGAAACGAGTGGTAAAGAAGTGAATAATATCTATGAATCCCACGAAATATATATATATTGTTTGACCAATTTTGAACAATTTATAAACATTAGCCAAACTATGAACTCACGATTTCAATTATGAAACTTATAAGCTACATTTTGCTTCTCATTTATTTGTAGTGAGACATGTTTCTATTAGGACCATGTGATTATTTAACGAAGATACGAATGCCCTCTCTATGAAGTTATTTGCAACTGAAGTGAAAGGTTGAAGAGTAATTGCTCCTTTTTAAAGGTTGAACACCAACTTGCTACTAAGAATACATTACGACCTATAGTTCAATTATTTTAGGCATAATTCAATGTGAACCCAGAGGTCCATAAGAATCTGCTAACTACCCCCATCTTCGCACTATTGCTTAATTTTGTATCGTGGTCAATAGTACTTATTGATTTTGCAAAGCCCCCAAACTTTGGAACTTTCTAATGGGAGGCAGATTCATTCTCCTCTCTCATTCTCTATAGAGGCTGTCAAATCACTATTGCAATATTCACAATAACTTAATGAACAAGCAACGTTAAATAAATATCGACAAAATCGGGCAATAAGTAGAAAAAAGTCTCAATGAAAACCGGGACAAATGCACCTTTGAAAAATCTTGTTTGAAAGTGAATAAAGTCCAAAAATTTCACATTAACACGTCTAATGCAATGTGGAATGAGATACAAGAGAATATACCCAAAAAGAATTCTTGTCCAAGAAATAGAATTTTACTAATCAAGGTATAAACATACATACATGAATAGAACCAAGAGTTCTCTTAAAATATAAGAAAACAAGTTTAACAATAGAATCAAGAATATATCACCTTCTACCAACCAAGAAAAAAAAACAACCTTGCACTCTCCAATAAATCGCCAAGCAGTTGTTCTTGAGTCACTTTATGTCAAAAATAGCCAAAATCAAGGCTATCTATATAAGCTTATCGAACTTTCCTGAGCCAAAATCAATAGCCATATTGAAGAAGCTTGTAAAGAAGCCAAAACCTTGCTCTCCCATAAATTGCCAGCAGTTGTACTTTTTCTTCAAACATTCTGGAGTTCCTTTCTATCAAAACTACCCAAAAAATAGTCAAAAACACAGCTTTCCATACAACATCATCAACAAGTCTTTATTCATATTATGGTTCTATTCATTATTGGCAGACATCATACAAGACAAGGTATACGCTAGCTGTAGTATACATATTACAATATGATGTATCAAGGACAAAATAATGATTACAACCAGAACAATCCCAATAATTTTTTTTCCTCAATATAAAACCTATTCCTTTCTCAGAAACCAAAGCAAATAATGGCAGCATACATTATGGAAAGTTACAAAATATTAAACTTGGAACTAGTTAAGGAGGACTTGGATAATTGAAAACCAATCCTGTTAAAGGCACCGTGGGTCCAAAATACTAATAAAAAAAGAAATGAGAAAGTTCGTGACAACTGAAGAGAATGGAAAGTTGGTTTCTACTCCAATTCATTAGAGAAAGTTGGTTATTACACATTATAGACAGCTCTAAGAACCAGTGAATAGATCAGAGACATTTTGATTAATTACTGCAACAGCGCCTCGATAGGACGGAAAGTGTCATCAAATGGATGTGAAGTCAATATTTCTGAATGTGACTACATAGAAGGAAAAAAAAAGTGAGAAAGTTGCTTGATAAGTTTGGCGTTAGTTTAAGGGGGATGTTGGAAGTTGATCTTTGCATGAATGTTGAAGAGATTTATTCGGTAGTCCAAAATAATTATGTATCTTTGAATATACGAGAAGAATTGGAAAATATTAGATTAATAGTATTCTATGTAAGTATATTTATTTAAGTCCATGTATTCATATATACATGGAACAAAAATTAGATACAGGATTCATGAATGCATTTTAAATAAAATACTCGGTACAAGTACCAATAGGAGTCTTAGCCTTGTATTCAAAAGAGTTGACCAATTGTAAGAGACAAATTTTGATAAGCAATTGAGAAGAAATGCATTTGTTCATGAGAAAGTCCTAGAGTCATCTTGTGAGGGCCTGATCTAGTGTGAGCTCACCTTTGCTTCCAACAATGCCTTTCTCCTTTCTGATATTGTACTCCTTTTCTTCACTCCTCAGCTTGGAGAAAAGTTGAAAGCTAGATGGAAAAGGAAAGGAAAACATTTTATATAAAGAAGCACACCAGTTGGATATTGAGAACTTCCCTGCCCATAATTCCAAGTGGTGCAACCACAGTCAGTGCTGTAGAGACGATAAAGTGAACTCATGCATAATGTATAAACTTCCACAAGAGATGAAAAATGAGAGTTAAACTTATACACACGATTTCAATGTTGGAACTCTTCATCTTTAGGAAATACAGTTCACGCAACTGTAGAAGCTGGATCAACTTTCAGGTAAGAGGAGGGTTCAAACAATTCCTCTACTACCTCTGATACCATCACAATGGGTTCTAACGTACAGCCATATAGTAGTCTAACTAGTTGAGATCGAAAACATACAGCATGTAGGAGTATTTAAAGACATTTGATGTAAAAATCTCCTGAGAAGACAAAAAGAATGAACAACTAAATCGAGAATGCATAAAACAGTGTTCTCCTTTTATTTACTTTGGGGAGAGCGCACAACGGTTCCTTTTAGTACTTCCTGTTAACTGGCCAAATGTGGGGCAAATCTTTTAGGTCAGCATCTAAATCAGAATAAAGGTACGAATTTCAAATGTAATCCGCTGTTCTTAAGAAGTAATTTTATGAAATTAAACTAAATGAGTAATAACTAATGCTCATAACTGATGTATGAATTTTAGAATCCAACCGAACCAAATCTGAATCATAATTGAATCCTCCCAGATTCGAAATCTATCAATTTATTACTGGACCTTCAAAAATTATTTCTGATTTTATGAATAAATCACAATCCTGATAGATCTGAGGACAATAATCCAACTGTTAAAAAGCCATCCAACCTTAGTTTCCCTAAGAAGTGTAGCAGCTGCTATAATTTAATAGGGGTCTGCTTTAAGCTAGCTTATGAACAACTCCATTGCCCTTATCATTCATCATTCACGATCTTCGACACCTAATTAAAGGCTATAACACACCATTTGTTAATGTGAATTCTATCTCACAAGATTTCAGAGACGAAAGGATCTATGTTGACTACATTCTCTTTCAATGCTCCAATAGCATCTTTTAATCTGAATTCTATCTCACAAGATTTCAGAGACGAAAGGAGCTATGTTGTCTACATTCTCTTTCTATGCTCCAATAGCATCTTCCGTTATTTTCAGCTTACGGAAATGGCATTTTACAAGAGATTGTTAATAAGATCTCTCTTCCTTTTTTCCCCCTTTCTTTTTTTTTAATCATATATATCAGATATTAAAATTTTTAAAGTATATGCCTGACTCTAAATAGCTGGTGATCGGCTGCTAGACTTTGGATGGTATAGATAAAGCCATCAAAACTTTAATCCCAGTAGCAATGAACACAAACGATGCTGACTCTAAAAAAAACTGTTTCCTGCTCAAAAGCATGTATGAAAGATAGTTCATCAAAAAACAGGCGATATTCCAACCATATGCACTGAGGCCTCATTTGATTCATGGGATGAGGCATGATCGATAACCAACATTGCACTGGGATCTTTCAAGTGAAGAACCAATTTTTCCATGACCTTTTAGAAATAATTTTTCCCTTAACATTATCATCTTCTACACCAGAGAATTTTCCCCCCAGCCCAGCAAAAAAAGGAAGGAAAAAAAAACCCTTCGCCCCCTTTTAGTTTCCAACTAGCCATGCCCAGCCGTCCACCACACCAGTCCCCTTCCTTTGATCCCATTATATATATTTGGTAAACCAAATACAAGAAATGGACAAATTTTCCAATTAAAAGAAATTCTAGATGATATTTTATCCTTTAATATCCTGCCCTTGAACCAACAAGTTTAAGAGTTTTGAGTAAAGAAACAGATTGCAAAAATCAACAGATAAAAACTTAGAAATACAACAAGTTAATGCAGAATGAAAACAAGTGACAACTTTTAAAGATGTTCTGAGTGGCGTTAGAGAAAAAAATACTAGATTAAAACTCATTAAAGTATATTAATGAAGAAAATAAAGAAACAATAAGGTTGAGAGAAAGAGCGAGAATCATAATCCATAGGTTGTAGTGATAAATTGGCATATATCTGGGAACAGAAAAGGTCAACAAAAACCAGCAGGATAAATAAGGTAAAGAGATACTGAAACCTTTGCTTTTTATGTTATTAATATACTCAAGAGAATAAAATAAAAGGGAAAAAAAATCATACTCATCTAAGGACATCAAGACACCATGTACTTAGGTTGATAAAATATCCAATATCTGGGCAACACAACCACTTGGCAGTCATCCAAAAATTACATAAATTTAGAAATGAGGAAACAAAAAACAATGATGCATTCAATCACTTAAAATGAAGAAAGGAAAAGAAAAACACCAAGACAACAACTACAACCTGCAGATTAGAAAAGCATGTATGTTGAAATAATGTACTAACTGAATACCTGGGCTAGCATTTCCAGAGCAAAAACGAAAAGAAGATGCTTCTTTAAACAAGATAGATTTCCTTTTAGCCCCTTAGAGTATGCCATCAACCTACAATTTCAAAAATACATCGTAATTTCAAACCATAATTTTGCATGTTCAACTACTAGCAAACAAAAACTGAGAGAAGAAGGATAATTGACCTTAAAGTTTCAGTGAGCACGGCTTTTGGTAGAAAAAGCTCCCATCGAGAAGTATAGATCGCGACAGAAGAAGCCACTTGTTCACCAATAATCTCCACATGAACATCGATTGTCCTTGAAACAATGAAATCTATTGTTGTCTCTCACAACAATTTCTCTGCCAGCAATGCCAGATATGAACTTTAATGCACTGTGGCAGTCTACACAGACCCTGATATTTTTGGTTATCCTTATAGGAACTCGAGGAGGGAGGGCAATGAGGCCAAATGCAAGTGCAATCTTCTCACTGTGGTACCAAACTTCTGATTCTTTCTCTTCATCTTCTAAATCATAAAGAGCAAAACTGGTGTCAGGAACATATCCAGCAGCCTTCATCTTCTTTTTCAACTCAGTTAGAATTGTCTGAATCTCAGAGTTTCTATGATGTGATGTATCCTTAGCTTGAAAGACGTGGACATTGTTCTTAACAGATATCCAACTGTATCCTGCACCCTTCTTAATACCCACATCCTTCATCTCCTTCCTAACAACATTGGCCTCTTCCCACTGACCTGCAGCAGCAAACATATTTGAAAGTAAAACATGATTGCCAGAATCGTGAGGATCGAGTTCAAATAAATTATCAGCTGCAATCTTCCCCAGTTCGGGCTTCCCATACACTTTACAAGCTCCTAAAAGGGCCCCCCAGACCGAAACTGTTGGACGTATAGACATTTTTCTTATAAACTCATAAGCACGTTCCACGAACCCAGCTCGCCCTAGCATATCTACAACACAAGCATAATGCTCCGCCCCTGGCTCAATCCCATATTTCCCCCTCATCGAATCAAACATATTCATCCCCATCGTCACCAACCCACCCCGACTGCATGCTGTCAACACAGACACAAAAGTTACATAATTAGGCACCACTGCTTGGGAGTCCCCACAATTTGTCATCTCCTTGAACAATTGTAGTGCCATATCAGCATGACCTTGATGAGCATATCCACCTATTAATGCATTCCAACAAATCAAATTTCTCCTCGGCATTTCGTGGAATGCTCTCTCACAATCCTCTATACTCCCACATTTACCATACACGTCCACAAGTGCACTTCCAACGTATATATTCTCCTCAATGCAAGCCTTCACCGCAAGACCATGAACTGCTCTCCCCATTTCAAGTGCAGCCAGTGCAGCACATGCACTGAGCACGCTTGAAACCATAAAATCACTCGGCACAACTGCCTCTCTCCTCGACTTCAAAAACACCTCGCATGCCTTCTCCCCCAAATCATTTTGCTCATAAATTGCCACCATGGAACACCATGACACGACATTATACTCACGCATGTTAACAAAAACTTGCTCAGAAAACTTAACCTCCCGAGATTTGCCATAAAAATCAATCAACCCATTCAAGACCGAAATGTCAGCCTCGTACCCTCCTTTAATTACGTAGCCATGTAACTGCTGCCCTTGCACCAGCAATTTACCATCTGAGCATGCGTTTAAAAATGCACAAAACGTAATCGAATTCGGAGCCTCTTGATTACCTTGTAAGAGTTCTATAAACATATAAATGGCCTCGAGAGGCCTTCCATTAAGCACCGCGTTCGAAATGCACGCATTCCAGGTAGCAATATTTCGGTACGGCATCTCGTCAAACAGCTTGCTCGCATGTGTCAAGTTGCCCGTTTTGGAATACATATCGAAAGCACTGCACGCAACAAACTCATCATTGATCAGGCCCAGTATTAAAGCAAGCGAGTGGAACTGCTGGCCGAGGAGAGGAGAGCAAATTGCAGCCGAGGCCTTAAAAAGGCAAGGCAGGGTGAAGTCATTGGGATGGATAGAGTCCGAGCGCATTTTCAAGAACTGGTAGAGGGCAGCGTCAAAATGACCGTTCTGAACATGACCGGAGATGAGGGAGGTCCAGGTGACGACAGAGCGAACGTGGGCCGGCGTACGGGAGAGGACAAGCTGGGCCAAGATGGGGCGGTCGAGCTTGGAATACATGTTTATAAGGTGATTGGAGAGGAAAGCATCAAGGCCTAGACCCAGAGTCTTAATGATCTGGGCATGGGCGGCGCGACCTAGAAGAATGGACCGAGTTGAAACGGCGGATTCCACCAGTGAAGCCAACAATTTTGGGCGGAGGAAGGGCATGTGCAGTGGTGTTTTCTCTACACTGCTGTTGTATTCCTTGCCTAGGCTGTTGTACTAGCTCGGAGTTTACATTATAGCATTGTCACGATAATCAAAGATGAATTGACTTGGACTTGTAAGGAAAGATACCGACTTTTATTTATTTATATACCCACAATAACGATTCAATCTCCATGTCCAAATCATGATACCAGTTTGGAGAGCTTACGCCCTCTCGCCCCTCGTGACTTGCTGCCACGTCCCAATATTCAAGCTTCAAACTTCTACCTCATGAGAGAAACTTACCCAATTGGTATCAAAATTCGTCTTAAATCTTTCTTGTCTTCGGTTTGAACAGTGAAACAAGAGACAAAAAGTTGCGAAGAGTAAAAACACATACTTTCTAAAAGTTTATAGTACCATGCATGATATAACACATTACAAATATAAAGATTTTACTATTTGTACACTGAAGTTGACAATCTGATGTACAATATCCCTCATAATAGGGGCCCACAAACTTTTTAATTGGACATTAGTCCCCTTATTGTGAGGGGTCTCACAAGTAGCAAAACCCCAAATATATGTGCTTCGACATACACAATCTGATTCATAAAACTCACTGGACAAATTTAACCCTTGTTTGAGCCACACTAAAATTTTCATTCACATTCTTCTATTCATTTTGAACCACACATTCTTCAATAAAATAATATTTTTCATCACATCAATAATTTTTTCTTCTTTTTCAATTGCACATTCTCCATGAATCTACTATTTCAAAATACATTTTTCCAAAATAATGTAGTTCAAACACACCCTTAAGGAGATTTTCAAATAGACTGGTGCATTTTAGAATTTAAACCATCGAATCAAATAATAAAGAACGCGATCTTTAGAAAATTATGTCCTGTCCCAGATAAATAAGAAACAAAATTGTTAATTTCTTTCATTTTCAGAACAGAAAAATGACTATATCAAGCAAATCTTCCCTAAAACTTTTTATTAGACAACATTCAAAATACAAATTCTTCCTCTGCTGCTCCATTTGGCAGTCCTCTATCCTTCATGGCTCGCAAAGCTTCTGCTGTTGAGTCACTGATATTCAGTAGATATTGAACTCTGGCCAAATTTTCAGGCGATGGGTCACTTTTCAAGTATACGAGAAAGAGATCAGCCAGTTCCTCTGGCACCTCCCATGACAATGGAGTCGAAGGTACAGCCTTGTCGCAGGCTAACAAGTCATTGAGAGAATTAACCTACAAGAACATATAGAAGCAATTAAGTCACAATCACTAAACGAATCTTCTAGAACCAAAGAACAAAAATCAGGATGCATACCACCCCTGGGTGGTTTCTCTGCCTTAGAAGTGCCACTGCCTGTACTAGGGAGTTCGATAATCAACTTCGTGCAAGCTCCTGAACAACTTCTTAGGCCTTTACAGCTTTAATATTGAGATCTTTCGGGGTTTTCTGATATACTTCCTCTTCGTCAAACTCTCCTGTACCAGATGAGAAGATATCATCAACAGTTTTTTTGAACAGGTTCTCTCGTAAACTTCCAGAGATCATGGTGTCTACATCAACCCCATTTTCTTTCAGTTCTCGAATTTCCTTTATGCTAAGCCTCCCCCGGCCAACAGCAGTTTCCAGGGCTGCTGCCAATTTTGTAGTAGTTATGCTCTTTATTATTTTTTGAGAATACTGAGGTGGTAAGCCAACGTTCTTCTGCAACTCATTGAGTTGCTCAGTTCTTGCTTTAGTCAACTGTCCGTCAGCTAAAATAACCTCAGCTTCTTGCCTGAAAGCCTGTTCAGCTAAGCTCCTGTGTACGTCAACAATCTCCGTGTCACCCAATCCAAGTATGCCACCAAGTTGGTTTAGCAAAACATATTCAGAATCATCCTTCTTTGTAGTGATTTGAGCCCCAAATGGAATTCTAGTCACTTCACCAGTTAGACAAAATAGCAAATATGTCTTGTAAAGATCAGTTCTATCCCTTTCTGGGAGGTCATCTTTAAGATTTATCTCCGTCTGGCTTGGTTTTCCCATACTTTCCTTGCTCGGTCTTGCTTTCCGAAGTGACTGCAAGGACTCCCATTCCTCATCTATCTCTGTTGGTTTTTCTTCTACTTCAATAGGCTCTTTAGGTGGAGTATCAGTTGATTCGCCTTTGATGTCTGCGACTAGTTCAGTCACAACCAAGCTATTAAAAGCTATCATCTTTTTGAGTTCTTTAGCAGACTCTGTACGATTACCCGCTGCCCTTGCTCGTTGAATGTAGCTGATGAAAATCTTACGGACCTACATACATCCAAGTTATTTAAAGCTATTAGAAATTCTTTAAGAACATAGTCCAACAAATATGTAAGGATATCCTGATTCATCAGATACTTACTGCCTTACTAGCAATAGACATTGCAACCTCCCTGGTTAAACGTAAACCAAAAGCAGCCTTTCTAACAGACTTCTTAATTTCTGCATCATACCCATCCACTCCTGCAGCAATTGCTTCCTTAACAACCTGTCAAAGTGATTTTGGATTAGAAACTAACAATCATGAGGGCATAATGATGAGCACGGAATAAAAAATAAATAAATAAAAAACACTACAATTTGCCAAGACAAAAGAAGGCTTTCAATAGAACAAATTCATTAATAGCTTGGAGTAATCATTTTTATCACATTAATTACGAAGAGCAGAGTGACAAGAAACAAATTTGTTACTGCCAATAGGCCCAAGTCTTCTAGAAACGAAGACTAACCAAGCAAGGAGCACAAATAGTACCTACAATTATCTAGGCAATTCATGTCTATTTTTCTTTTAATTGTGGGAAGAAGCAGATGCGTCTTTTATTTTTGGATAGGGGATGTGATCCAGGAGGTGCAACCATAATACAAATCATCCTACTCCTTATGAACAGGATCAAAACTTGGTAACAGCCCGTCATTGTAAATATGAAGAACAAACCTTTTCAAATAAACTGCCACAGATATCTGCATGAGCTGCTTCAACAGTTTGTTTTGAAATGCAAAACATGATCTGTATCTGTTCCAATGTTTTCACGTCCTCGTCACTAAGTTCCCCTTTATCAGCTACTAGTTGCTGAAGCTTTCTCCGGTAAATTTCTAGACATTGAAAAGGCAAAAAACCTTTTTCAGATGGCAAAAAAATAATCAAAGAAGACAAACTAAACATATCACGACATTTTAGAGATCATACTTAGTCAAAAATTAAATGAAAATTAGAATGAGACAGTAGTATAGACACAACAAATGAATTTCCCTTACTTATACTGATACACTGGGAAGAAAGGTTCTCTCCTTCAAGGAGAATTGACATATCAATTTTTTACGGCCATATACGCCCTTTGCACGATCTATTTGCTGTACATTTTATATTTTGCACAATATTGTAAACTAAATTAGTTTTCAAACAAACTGATAATTGCACCAGTACATTGAATACGCAAACAGAAAGTGAATACCTCGGAGAAATATGATGACAGCATGTCTCTGATGTGAGTCTCATACTATAGACTTCTAAATTAAGCATTTAGGGTGTGTTTGATGGATATTATTGAGTAATGAATATATTTTAAATAGTAATATGATGGGAAATATTTTTTTTTTTTTTTTTGATAGGTAATCAGAAAATTTTATTAATCAAAAAAGAAATATGATGGGAAATATGCGGTTAAAAAGTAAGAAAAAGTTATTGATGCAATAGAAAATATTATTTTATTGAAGAATGTGTGGTTGAAAATAAATTTTGAAAGAATGTATACTAAACAGGCATAGTACCTTCATGAATCTCAATTGCCTTCTCTGGATCAAAGTGCAACTCTTCACATAGATTTTGAAGATAGGCTGCTTTACTATCAGCAGTTGCTAAATCACCACTGGATACAGCCTGCTGAAGACGTTTACGATATACTTGAGAGGTAACATCCAGTGCAATTGACTCTGCTTCTCGTCTACCTAAACCAAATATATTCCTCAATTGGTTTAATGCAGCAAGCTGCAGCAAAGAACGGTATGTTTGATTATTATCGTACACAGTTTATTTTCCAATATATACTATGCAACTTTGCATAGGGACTAGGATGTAGTTAAATTGTTATTTATAGATAGTGTAAAATTAATAGTTGAAACTTGAGAAAGATATATATTTTCTCTGGAAGACAGAAGTATAGGTAAAGGCATAACAGTATAACTACAGCTATTCTTTTCATTCTAAAGAAAATGAATACAGCTCAAGGAAAAATCAAAATAGAAATTAAAAAATTTCACGAGTATGAAACCTCTACAGTACATCGACTAGTTAGTAATCTTGGTTATATATTAATTCATATTATAACTATCCTCTACCGGTAGGAAGCAGCATAAGCAACAGCTTGTCATGTAGTAAAGCACATTGTAAAATATTCATCGCTAGTTAAAATATGTACATATCATAAATTATTGTGGATTGGTTAACATGAACATCTAAGTCAAGTTATACTGTTAAATAACAAGTTGTCCATTTTTTACTTCCAACTTGATTATAGAAAATTCATGTGCTTGGCAGACCTGATGATTGAATAAAACATCTTACCATGACTACAATTTTAGAGAGACGCGAACTAACTTTCTATTAATTAGTTTTCTCATTCAGAACTTGTAATAAAACTGAAGGCCCAATGTTAAATTGACAAGTGCAGATTAACCTGTCTAGCAACTAGGCCCGATGTCCATAGTCCACCTCCTCCTCTACCATTCACTTCCATGGCATCCTGCTAAACTAAGGTATTTATCGTCAAAATAACACCTGGAATTCCCACACTACCACCAGCTCCTCAGTTGCCAACAACTCAGTAAAACCACAATAAGAACGAAGGAAAATGGAATTGCAATAATCTGAAGCCCATGGAACAGAAGCATCACCCATTACAGGAACCGATGCCTTCGCCGCAGCCATGAATAAATCAGTAGCTACCCAAAATATCACCACCACTCAATATTATGAGTCAACTCTGATG